ATGACATTAAAAAGAGAACAAAAGCAAAAATAAGTGCCAAGAATAAAGGAGAGAACATCATGACAGATTCTAAAGACATTAAATATCATAGATATTGTGAGCAACTTTATAAAATAACCTTTGAAAATGCAGATGAAATGAACAAATTTCTAGAATAAAAATACCAAAACCGGTGCAAGAAAAAAATAAAGTCTAGAAAGGTATATAACTGTGAAAAGTTATTCCGCAATTAAAAATCTTTCTTTGAGTATTCATGACTGAGTGGGTTCACTTGTGAGTTCTACAAAAAAAAATTTAAATTAAATTTATTGGAGTGACATTGGTTAATAAAACTATATAGGTTTCAAGTGTACAATTCAATAATACTTCATATGTATATTGCATTGTGTGTTTACCACACAAAGTTAAATCTCCTTCCATCACCATATATTTGACATCCTTTACCCTTATTTACCTCCCACTTTCTCTCCTTCCCTCTGATAACCACTAGACTGTTGTCCAGGTCATGAGTCTGTCTGTCTTGTTCATTTGTTGCTCTCAGTTTTATAACCCACATAAAAGCGAAATCATATGGTTCTACAAAATTGTTAAGGAAGAGATCATGACAATGCTACAAAATTCTTCCAGAGAAGAGAAAAAAGAGATAATTACTTTCCAATTCATTCCATTAGTTCAGTATAACTTTGATACAAAACCTTACATTATGAGAAAATATTATAAGAAAAATTATGAGACTATTGCAACATGGATGCAAAATCTTAAACAAAATAATATCAAAGGAAATATAGCACTATTTAGGGTTATTACATCATCATCAATGTTTTAATTCCAAGAATACACGATTATTCAACATAAGAAAGTCAAAGTAATTTACCACAGGAACTTTCCATGGACAAGTTACTTCACCTTTCAAAAAGTTTAACTATTCTTATTTAAAGTTTCAATTTTCTCATCTGTAAAATCAAGACCATAATAACTCATATATAATGTGGTTTTCATGAGGATTAAATAATTAATGCATATAAAGTGCTTAGTACATGGCACAGTAAAAATGCCCCACAAATCTTAGCTATTATTATTAATGCCTTTTAAAAATGATAAACATGAAAGAAAGAAATATTTCTATTAGACAATGTAGCAGATTAAAATCTCATTTATGCAGCTCTCAATCAGAAAACTCTTACTTTGTAAAAATATCACCCCAAAACTTAGAAGCTTAACAACCATTTATTTAATCCATAGTTTCACAGGTCAGCAATTTGAGCTGGCACAGTGGAATGGGTCTTCATGTCTCATTCATGTGTCTGTGATCAGCTGTTAGGTCAGTTGGGGATTGGCTACTCTTGGAAGGGGCAGTGGATCAGCTAAGATGGCTTGTTCCTGTGCCACGTTGTTCCCCATTTTCCAACTAGGTAACAGGCTTATTCACATAGCAGTTATAGGATCCCAACAGAACAAGAGAGGACAAGGACCAATGTTTAAACATTTTTCAAATCTCCATTTGTGTAACATTGATATTGTCTTATAATCCAAATCAAGTCACATGGGCAAACCTAGAATTTGAGTGCAGAGGGAATGATGCAGGATGTGGATATAGGGAGTTTTGAGTAAATTGGGCACAAGTAATTACTCTAACAATCTACCACAAGTTCCAAAGCAATAATTCATTATTTAAAAATATATATAGGAAATTGGATGTATGAATTTTATCCAACATAAAACCATTAAAATTCAAAAAGAAGTAATTATTTTCTCCCAAAATGAATTCTTTTACTTAGCATCTCTATTTTTATAACACCAGCCCTAAATCTCTAAAACCTTAGCTTGGTAAGTGAAACATACCTTCCAAATTTAATGTCTAGGCTGTCTAATCCAAACTTTTTCCTTTCTTTTTAATATTTTTTAATTAAATGTATTTGGGTGTTATTGGTTAATAAAAATATATAGGTTTCAAGTGTACAATTCAATAATATGTCATATGTATATTACATTGTGTGTTCACCACCCAAAGTCAGATCTCCTTCCATCACCATATATTTGACCTCCTTTACCCTTATCTACTTCCCTCTCTCTCTTTACCTCTGGTAATTGGTACAGCCACTATCCAAACCTTTTTCTCAAACTAGGCAAGTTAACTGATGGCTCTCTCTTATACTGTTCTTATCTCTGCCTGGCTCATGACATTTCCTTATCTAAAAGATGCTTTCTTTGACTCTATTCCTTGAATCATTTAATGTAACTTATTATTTAAGTTTCCAGCTCAACTACTACTTAAAGATGACAATAATTTATCTCTCATTAATATAAAAAATAGTTAGAGACCAAACATTTATCTGAACTCCCATAGTGTGCCATGAACTTTGATGGGACTAGATACACATATAATATTCCATTCGTATTGTTCCTTATCTATTTCTGGAGAATGTGTCTTCCAGATGAGATAGTAAAATTTATTGTGTAAAAGTCATTTTTTTTGGACTTCCTTGTTTCTTCCATAAAATTCAGTATGGCAAAATAGACTTAGTACTTAACATATACATATATTTTACTGATTTTGGTGAAAGCTCTTACATAATTTCTTGCTTTATATACTTGTAGTATCTTAGTATTAAGTAAGGGTATTCAAACTAAATTAATATTTCAAAGTCACCAGCTAGATATTTTATTATTTATATCCATATATCATATATTTTATTGTTTAATAATTCAAATGCCTCTATCACAACTAAGTTTTATATAAACAGGTCTAGAGTAACTTGTATCTTTTAATCTATCTAATACAAATTAAACATATTTCTTATAATAAATATGTACTATGCCTAAACTAATAAAACTGCTGCTTTTAGAAATTTCTAATTTAGATTTTCTCTGAGGGAAACTTGCCTTCCCCACACATTTACTATTTAAAATGAATGAAAGCATCCTTTAAAAGTTCCTCACTAAGCAATGAAAACTAATCAGCACATCTAGTGGTTATGCTTTTGCTTATTCTTTTATTCTCAGTGCTGACTGCTTAAGTAATAAGGTCTTTACTTGGATCTAGCATCTAAAAAATATTTACTATGCCTGATTAACTGACTTATGAATTTCAAATGTAATTATCTATAGATATTTATTAAAATTTTGAAGAAAGAAGATAACCTTATACCGAATGATTAGCCCTGAAAACAGATATATAAATAGAATTCTAATTACAGATATGACAAATTTGAGTTGGCTTATTTACTTACAGTATAATCCATTTGAGAATTGAAGTGGCATATAAAAATAGATACAAAACCAGAGAATAATATAAATAATTGAGAGCATCATAGAAACAGAAAGAAGGAGGAGGAGGAAGAGGAGGAGCAGGAGGAGTGGGCGGGGGAGGAGGAGAAGGAGAATGGAACTGGGTGAAGTGAATGCATAAATTTTTCAATTTCTATTAGAAACTGGCTAAAAATTTGACTCCCATTTTTTAAGCTCTAGCAAAGCACGTATACAAAATCAGTAATAAGGTTCAGAGAGTACATGAAACTGAGGAAGATTTGTTCCTAATTCCTAATAAAGGCAACACTAGGTGATATAGTGGTCATGACTGCAATCGATACAATAATTGTCGTTCTCTTTTTCTTTCTGTGCACCTCAATCTAAAACCAAGGACAATGCCAAACCAGTTGCATAAAAGAACATCCATGGAATCCAAAACAATATAGTTCAAGAAGGCAACTCTCTGATTATCTTTTTCCATGAAAAAAATATTAGGAATCTAGAGAAAAGAATGGACTGAATGTTTTTAGATTGTCCTCCATAGTCCCAATCAGACTTAAGTTTAAAAAGCAGAGTTTAAAGTTTTGTTTTCTACTAAGAATCTAGAGCAGCAGTCCCCAACCTTTTTGGCACCAGGGGCCGGTGCTCCTATGAGAATCTAATGCCTGGTGATCTGAGGTGGAGCTGAGGCAGTGATGGGGAGCAGCTGCAAGTACAGATGAAGCTTTGCTCATTTTGTTTGCCTTCTGCTGAGCAGCCCAGTTCCTAAAAGGCCACTGACTGGTACTGGTCCGTGGCCGGGGGGTTGGAGACCCCTGGTCTACAGATAGATCCTTTGTGTTGTCAATAATGACCCACACATATGCTTTGACAATCAACAAGGCAGAATGTATTCATCATTTGCTCTTCTTTTTTTAACATTAATTCACATCCCAAAATTATTAATGAAAAACAGGACATTAAGATTGTTAGGATAATTGTATCTGTGAAAGCTAGAAAGAACGAGGAAATTTGGTGACAGGAAGAAAAGGTGTATTTTAGGATAATAAACAAATTACCCTGGCTCAAAATAAGATATAGAGAAGAAAAAACTGTTTGGTGGAGTTTTGAAATATAAGATGCCATATGGAAAATGCATCACCAGAAAATCACATTTGTATTTTATGAAAAAACGATAGCTAATTTCATAATGATTTTCTTTTAATGTGAAGAAATATATATGTATATAGTCATTCAAATAGAACTAGAACAAGAACTTGTTTTTTTAACTTTAAAGAAAAAATTTTAGTATTAGCAAGTCCAGATTTGCAATTTATATTGTCTAATGCTGAAAAGAAAAACATAAATATAAATAAGAAAACTAAATAATTTATTATCCAAACGGAAACTCTTTTGAGAGTGAATTAATTCACTACTAATGAGGAAGCTGAAAAATTAGACACAGACCCAGGCTAACCTTTGCAAATTGGAATGCATGGTCAGCATACTTGTAACTGCTTCTCAAAGGCACAAGCCCAAAGCAGAACAATTACTCTTCCCAAAAATCAACTCCTCTCTTCAAGCTGTTTAATCAGAAGACTGCCCACCCTCTTATCCATAACTAAAAATAGGTCAGCATTAAATTTTAAAAATCGTGTTCTCAACTGTGAGTCAGTGATACTCGCTGAATGTGGACATTCCTTTCTCCTTAGAATGGACTAATGCTTCCTGGTGATAGAAGTACAAATTTATTGCCCGGTGTTTTGTCTTACCTGAGCTATATTTACTGCATTATGGATCCGACTGTCTTTCTCATGATCCTTTGTTTTCCGTAATGTTTGCCATATAAGGTTTCCCAGTCCATCTTGTTCCTCATCGCCCCGAAGTTCCCATGACATTTTCACCAGGTTATACACTAAGCCATAGTATCCCATCCATATCACTTGATCACCTGTTTTAAAAGAAATATTCTTTGAGAAAATATCTTTTTATTTGTCCTACTACCATATGGTTTTGTGAAAAAGAAGAAACTTGATTTTACTAATATTTTAAAGTCTGCAATTCTGAATTTTGAATTATTTTTTACCCTTCACTGCTTTTACTCCTTTAATTTGAAAAGATCACAGATTATTTTAAAATTTCTAACCATATGAAAAGATGAACTACACTTAACTGGTATTATACCTCATAATTTAAAAGTTAAACAGGTAAACTTTAAACTATGTACTAAAAACAAATCTTTGGAATTCAAGTAAAGAGGAGTTTGTTCGAGGCAATATTGAAGACTTAGACTACCATGGTGGATTTTTATAATAAATCAGAGAAACAGGAGAAAAATCACTGGCTGTTATAAAAATGGTATAGCTCTATGAAACATAGCATTTGACCAAGAATAAATCTTTGAAAATAATGTGAGAAACATACAAAATTTTCCAATGTAATTATAGGCTGGAAATTTTTTTTCTTTTTAAATAATATAGACATAAATCAATTGAAATAGGAGAAAGGGAGTAAGGAATCCAGAAGAGAGAAAAAGTAGTCCATGATACTTCTAAAATTTATATACCAATTAGCAATTTATATAAATTATCCAGTTCCACTTTTAAAATATTCAGTTCCCTCACAGAAAAGAGGAAGAAGTTTCTTTTTATTCTTTATCTTAATTATTTCTTACCTAGACGGTATATTGCTATGCAGTACTATTCAGAAAAAGAGAATTCTAATTTAGGTATTGAGGGGATAAATAAATTTGGAGAATGAAATGATACAGCTCTCAAAGGGGATATGAACTTTAAGTTAGCCAAAGAGCAACATGAGAGTACTGAGTGTGTGTGAAGCAGGTAAGAGAACAAGAGGAAGAGAAGGTTCAGAAAGGGAAATGGAACAATTTACATTCCCACCAGCAGTGTAAGAGGGTTCCTTTTCCTCCACAATCTCTCCAACACTTGTTATTACTTGTCTGTTGATAATAGCCATTCTTACTGGTGTAAGATAGTATCTCATGTGGTTTTGATTTGCATGCACTATGGAAAACAGTATGGAAGTTCCTCAAAAAATTAAGAATAGAGTTACCATATAACCCAACAACCCCTCTACTAGGTATCTACCCCCCAAATTTGGAAACATCTATAAAGATATATGCACCCTGGTGTTCATTACAGCATTAATCATGGTGGCCATGACATGGAAACAACCGAAATGCCCTTTGATAGATCATTGGATAAAGATGTGATACATATATACAATGGAATACTACTCAGTCATAAGAGAAGATGAAATACTGCCATTTATAATAACATGAATAAGTCTCGAGATTATCATGCTAAGCAAAATAAGTCAGACAAAAATAGTAGAGAATGGTATGATTTCATTCATATGTGGGATATAAAACTGAAAGCAACAAACAAACAAGACAAACAAAAAACTCATAGACACAGACAACAGTTTAGTGGTTACAGAGGGAAAAGAGGGGGTATAGATAAGGGTAAAGGGGGTCAAATATATGGTGATAGAAGGAGATTTGACTTTGGGTATTGAACACAATGCAATATACAGATGTATTATCGAATTGTACACTTGAAACCTATGCAATTTTATTAACCAATGTCACCCTAAAAAATTTAAAAAGATAAACAAGGGGAAATGAAAAAGTTTTAAAGCCAAATAAATTCTGTATTGTACTTCACCCCAAATCCTGGTGATAACCCATGTGACATTGGAACTCATCAATGTCCTTCAAGAATAAAGATATAAGTGCAATTTGAAAAGTCACAATCCTTAACTTTTCCTAATTAAATCTAGATTTTTATAATCTAGGCTAATAATAATAATCACTATTGTTATAACTAGAATACTTGGGAGTACCTACTATGTTCCCTTGTTCTAGTCCTCATTATAATCCTGCTACGTAGACTATATTATACTTAGAATAATAGAAGGAAACACGTGAGCTTCAACTTGATTAGAAAATTCCTAACGTCATATAGCTGGTGAGTGATGGGGCCAGGTTGAAGGCTTGTTTAATCTTATCCTATGCAGCGAGCCTCTCCAATCCCCACCTTATATTCTATTCACAGGAAAAGAATAGACTAGAAGGTAGAAAGAAGAAGTAGAGGAGAAAGCATGTACACATTTTAGAAATGGGAGGAAGAAGACATATGTCCAGCTTCTAAACTTGGGACAACTTCCTCCCATTCGATTGTTGATACTTTAAAAGAGAAAGTATAAACTGCAATTCTGAGGCTACAGTTAAGCAGCCAAGTCTTTTGAAAATAGAATTTTTTTCATAAAACCTTACTAGTTAAAACTGGTGTACTGCAATATTTATAAATATATATAGGGAGTGATGTCAGCAAGAAAGTGGAATAGGAAGTCCTCCATCTTCATCCCATTACAGAAACACAAGTTGGCAGCCACCCACGAACAAAAGTGCCTTTTGGAGAAGCTTGGGATCCAGATAGAAGGTTGGGAAATCCCAGTGGAACCCAAGACTGAGGAGGGCCAATTTGATAAGGCAGGTCCACACACAGATGTCAGGCCTGTAGCTAGTCATGTCTCAGCTGTGGACCTGGAAGCACCACTATAGACCTGCAAACTCCAGCCCTGCTTATCCCCAGTCCTGCCACCAGCCCCATCTGCCACAGGACCTGGGAGAACCCCATGCCTATTGGTGCCCTTAGTAACAAGCCCACTGACTGTGGACCTGAAGCAAGATTCTAGTTTCATTCTACCATGGTCCAGAGGCAGTTCTGTCCACCCAGGAACCCACCCAAGGACCTGGCAGAAGTATGCTCAGGGACCTGATAGAAGCCAAATCCATTTGTACCCCTGGTAACAGGTTGGAGATCTGTAGACCCAGAAGTGGTCCATGTCCAGGCCATAGTCCTGCTCAACCATGGTCCTGGAGGTGGTCACATCCGCTCAGGGACCTGGCAAGAACCATGCCCACTTAGGCCTCCAGTAACAGGCCCACTGAAACCCAACAGAGAGGTAGCTATAAGAAGAGAGAAGATAGAGGATGATAATGAGCATCTCGAATTGAGCTGAGGTGGAGAGTTCATATTAGAAATGGATAATGTTCTTAACCTATTTGTGGAGAAAATTGTTATGAGTTCCAAAATTTTGAACCCATTTTTACCTGTCTAACAGTGACCAGCCAAGTGAATTTGAGATGTGAAAGAACAGAACAGAGTAAAATATCTTCTGAGACACTTTCACCTGCATTCATAAAGGGCGTCCTGTGGCTATGGTTCAGCCAGTGTTTTAACTCTTGACAAGTATTCATAGGAATTAGGACAAAGGCTCAAGTGGCTCTTCTCTGAGTGGAAAAATGGGACTTTAAAGGCTTATTGTTCCAAAAGAATTGTAAACAAGCAAACAAACAAAACAAAACAAAACTCTATAGCATTAAATGGGAAACATGCTATTTGCTACATTTAATAAATATGAATACGAATCTCTCATCTAGCCATTATTTCATGTGATACTGCTAATTTATCAAGGCAATGGGTCAGGAGAGAAATGATACCAAAAGTGCTCCAAGTATCAGTCTAACAAAGAATGTAATATTAACATATTTTGTAAGAAATTCTTTCTAAATCCTTTGGCTTCCTGGGAATTTTTGGTTTCTAGAGTTAATAGTAAAATTTACTTTTTGGACTTCAATAAATTGTTAAATGTCTTCAAAAGTTTAACAAATTTATGCATCTTTTTAGAAAAAAAGAAATGAATAAGGTAAAATAACAAGAAAAATGGGGTCAGATTAAATAGTAGATGTCTGAACAAAAGAATAATTATATCTGTTCAATGAAACGTTATGTCTATTCAAGCAATAAGCTGGGAAACTAATATGGGAGTTTTATGAGATAATCTAGGTCTTTACTGTGATGAACAGCAGGAGATTAGAGAGTAAAGGACAAACCTAAGACACTGTGGAGAAGATCTAATAAGACTTCTTAGCTACGGAGTAGGAGGAAGGAATGAAGTGGAAAGGAAAAATACGTTTTTTAAGCTCAGGAAACTGAAACAATAATGAAATCACTTGCAGAGATGTGATTATGAAGAAGAGCCTGTTTGGGGAGAAAGGAGAAAAATATTATTTGGAAAGTGTAGCATGGTAGGGCATGAGAGGAATCTAATTTCAGTATCCTGTAGCTTGTAAAAATATAGCTAAAATTCAAGTAAAATATCAGAAGTGAAATTATGGATTTGTGAGTGCAGCAAAAAATAAGGCTTGAACTCAGTATAAATAAAGAAACACAAGTTTTTAAAGTAATAACTGAGGAATTGTGAACCTCATAGATAAAATAAAGCAATATAAATAAAACATACTGTGGATTTTAACAAATTTATAAATTTATTTATAAACTCCCAAATTCTTTACATTAAAAATAATGATTGACAAAAGTATAGCCAAACAACCTTCTTTCATGTATTTTAAACCATAGTTTGTTGAGGAACAATATTTCATAAACCTACAATAGTTGAATCATTGAACTAATATAGTTTGCTTTTAGACTCCACAAGGCCAGTTATGAACTCATAAAATATGTTCTGAGAACTGTTTGCAAAATTCAAAAACTTTTAAAAATGTCATTGATTTTAAAAGTAAGCTGTTCACCTGTTGATTTAAACAACAGTGAACTATTGCTTGTGAATAATATTTGTAGGAAGAATACATTGCATTCAATTGACTGATAGTTAATGAAGAAAAAAAATCCCTATAAAGACAGATGGGTTGTGTTACAACTGTCATAAAAGGTAGAATGCATTCTAGTATGCACATCTCGACATTTGCTGAGAAGCATGCCTGCTATCAAACTACTCATCCAGGGACCAAGCTGTAGCATAAGGCACTCTTCTGTTCTGCTTTGAGTGACCCTGTGGCAGCTATCAAAGATGTCACTTTAAATATACTGAGAGAAAATGTGTCTCTTTGCAGCTAAGCAAGCA